GATTCCGGATTCAAAGGACAAGATGACACATGCTCCTTTCCCAGTGTATCAGCCAACTGGACTGGAAATTGAACTTTACTTTATCCCCTACTGTGGAACAAGCCCCTCCATATATCTCGTGACAGCAAGCTGGTATAAGGATATAGGACAGCGTGTGTGGAACATAAAGTTTTGTCCTCTGAAAAAATAGAAATATTAAGCTTCTCAGGGAGAAAATAGAGACATGGCACTGCTGTCCCCAGTATTCATGGAGTGGCAGTGATGCCCCAATCTGCTTAACTGTAAGACCAGGCTTGACTACAGTAAAAGTCCTTTCTCTTTATCCAGGCACTACATATTAAGTGAATGGCTGAAAAGTTACATTGTTTCTCTGTTCCCTATGTGTGCCCCTACTGAAGGGCTATTCCTTCTTTCTTCCCCCCTTCGACATTTACTAGGGTAAAAGTTCTAATTCATTGTGTGCAAGTAATTTCCCTGAATTACAAATATAATTATGTGCCATTGAAGAACAATTTTGCTATTTTGAATGCTTTCAGCAAAATTAATAAAACCAGCATAGATCCAGTCTATCATTACGTGTCTAATTTGGCTAATTTTTTTCTGTTAATTCCTTCAATTTCCAGCCTAGAATATGTACTGTCTGTTAGTCAATATAAAACAGTAGGAAATGGGGTCCCCCCCCCCCATCTTTAATGGAACCATGGTTTAATTGAACACAAAATCAAATGTGGTCACTTAAATTCAGCAATTCAACTTGCTAATGACAACGAAACACAAATCAAAACTGGTAATGTACTTAAAAATTAGCGCTCTCCTCTCCTGAATGTTTTTGCTTCCAACCAGGCTTTGGTTGTTTCTGTGCTGTGCTTCTGGATATGGAATGGTGCATTTATGTAGAAATTACATTGTTTCACATTGAGACACACAATATAGCAGTATGGATACATCTCCAAATGTTTGCCTTAGTCTGTTACTTTCTCAAGTGTGAACTAACCTTAGATGAAATCCTTTTTTTGTACTCAATGCATTTGGTCACACTTCAGACAGTATGTCATTCTACTTGTTCTCATGGGTAACCCAGGGACACTGCTTAAATATACTTAGTAATCTATTGTAAATTAATTCTATCAACATGGCATATCTGCATGAAAAATAATCATTTGATAAATACTAGTAACATTGTTTTGTTCAGTAAATCTACATATGTTACTGTTTCCTACAACAGTAACACATACTTGCTATCTAGCGTCTTTGTGGCTTAGAGCCTTGCACAGTTGCATTCTCTTCTTTGCAATTAGATTGGCAAATTCAGACTTGTCCTAATCTGAATTTCAGGAGATGGCATGGATAATCTAGAATTCACATGACATTTTCAGAATTCAGGCAATTTACTTGTAGTACTGAATGGCTCTACTATCATGTCATGACAGTGGAGCTATTTGAAGGTCTCTCTTGCTCAGAAAAAGGAAAAACATGGTGATCCCAGACTCAGAAGTGAAGTGGGCAGATCAAAAGACAACCTGGCAAAATGACACTACCTAGAAGAATCTTCCACCTTATGCGACTGTGGAGCAGAGCAAACAACTCTGCACCTGTATGCTTGTCCACAATGCCCTGCCTCATGCACAGAATCATAGAAACATAGAATCAAAGAGTTGGAAGAGACCTCATGGGCCATCCAGTCCAACCCCCTGCCAAGAAGCAGGAATATTGCATTCAAATCTCCCCTGACAGATGGCCATCCAGCCTCTGTTTAAAAGAAGAAGAATTGTTTGAAGCTACAGACAGTGCAGTCACTGTGGCCTGTTTTCGGAGTAAAAGTATTAAGCCGCTTGTGCTCCTTCTATTTTATCAGTTTTATACTTATTTATTTTATGCAATGCTTTTGACATGAAATAAATAAATGTACAATAATATGCTGAAAGCCTGCATGTATGATTATTAAAAGCTTGTTCTCTTGTTAATATTCATAATTTTATCAATATCACAGAAGTAAAATACCATATTAGCACATTTTTTCTGGCAAATAGCGAAATTATGGTTCAATAACCATGATGAACATGATTTGAAGCAGTGGTTAATTCAGTATTATATATCCATGAAAAATACTCTTTCCAGCAACAGCATTTTTGTCTAGCCTTTCCAAAATACACATAAATCAGTAATGGTGGTATAGTGGTTGTAGTAGTAGTAGTAGTAATTAGTACTAGTACTTCTAATTATTAGTAGTAATACTTATAATAATAATGCAAGCATGATGCTAATTCTGTCAAATATTACTGTAAAAGCAGAAGCCATAATTAAATGCCTAAACTAATGAGAATAGCCAGTGTAATGAAGATAAAATGACTATTTTGAGGAAGGCAATTAGAAGGTGCACCTCTAGCTTTCACCGTCCTAAGTACAAAGGTATATAGCCCTTGGTAAAGTGTTAAAATAATTAGTGGGTACATCCGTGACCTATGCCAAGTTCATTTGTGTGTGAGAGAACTAGAGAAAAAGAAGTCCCTTGAGCTTCTAGTTTCAATCTAATCTTTATTTTTAACCTTGCACTATGAATAGGAAATGAATTCTTATGCCATTCCCATCCTTTCAAAGTCCCCAAACCAGGACTTCCTGGACATAAGCCATTTGAAAAGTTTGAGTTGCGATTTAATTAGAAATTTTATCTTTTATCTTTCAAGGTTCATTTTCTAACATTGTTGTTTCACTACTAATTAAAAGCAGAAACTTCTTTTTAGGCTGCTTTTAACTATACCCAGTTTTTCAGTGCAACATGCCTTGTATGTGTTGATGTTTCCAATTAATCTGTTTTTCTAATTGATTTGGGGGCAGAGAACATCACAAAGTAGTCAGAAAATTGTAGACATTGATACTAAACTGAAAAAGGTCACCCAGCCCGAGGGAGTGATTCCATCACTCCTTAGAATTTTAGAATCTTCCAATTTTGTATAGGCAAGAACTATCAAAGAGTACAAGGTTATTCTCTTTTACTACATGCAGGAAAGTTCTGAAGCCGATTTTATGGGTAATTTAGTTCAGACCCTTCACAACTTGGAAGTACAATGGAGCAATTGAAAACTAATGCAGGAGGCCTGATAGTGACCTAATATAATTTGTCTCTCTTTCAGAACCTCATCCAGGTTGGCTTTAATGCAAGAAAGACATTTGTGGTGTATAATCTATCATTTAAAAAAGTAACATTTTAAAAATTATAGAAAATGTATCATTTTAAAAAGTTACAGGAAGTTAGAATCAATCAAGTATTGTCATCACTGGATGAAAGAAGAAAAATTATTGTAATACTGTACTCTATTGTTTTATAATTTATGAAGCTGTTTGTCTTTCTTAGGTTATATGTTATTTATTTTATAGCAATGTTAAACATCATTTTTGAATGTTGAATAGCGGAAATTAGATTAGATTCAAAATACAGTATCAAAAAAACATACAGTCTTGGTTAACTGGAGCTCAAGCAACTGGGACTCTCAAGCAACTATCAAAAGTGTATTGACTGCCATTTTACTACCATTGCATACTGCATTCACAGTGCCGTTTTTGTAATGTTGGAAAACTCTGATACATCAAGTTGATTTTATCATTATTTGTCATAATTTGCTTTTAATTGCTGTATTTCAATTGCTCAGTATTGTAGTCAATACTGAGCTTATGGTATGGCATAGTATGGGGTACAGTATTAGAACTATTTTAATAGTAAATCTTAGGCAATGAGAAACTATCTTTATCTGACATCTACCAAATCCCATGGATGCCAGTTAACTGAGAGTCTACTATATATTGCAATATACACATTTAATGGCCAGTAGATTGCAATACACTGCAATATACTGGTTGTGTATTTGGTGAATATGAAGCTTTCCAGTGGTTCATTTGCAAAAGGAACATTTTAAAGAACCTAACATTAACACAAACATGATCTTGTTTTGATTCTGGCCTGTCAAATTTCAGAAAACATTTGGTGTGTGAACATGTGTGTTATGTTATGCAGAAAACAGTTCAACCACTCAGTTTATTTTATGAGAATAGCTGAGCCCCTACCCCTTGTTTATCTATAATAATAGCTTAGAATAGTAAATGACTCTACATTCCCAGTCTAAGAGAATATTTGTTTTTCATTCCTCACAACTAATTTCCTCAGAGATATTGGGATGAATTCATCCTTAGTCTTATCACTTAAATTAGTGGAACACAAAGCAGTGTGTTTTCATTCCCCTTGATTTCAATGGGTATAGTTTTTAATTATGAGCTTTTACAAAATCTTGATTTAATCCAGTGTACTTGACTCACGATTTAGAGGGTTTAATAGTGGCTGAAATCTTGCCATTATTTGACCAAAGGGAATCGAGCAAAGTTCAGCAATTAAAGTTGTTGTTTCACAGTATTTGTTAGTGTTGCTATGCTAATAAAATAATACCAGTTTGTATCACGACATTGCATGAATTAAAGATATTGCTGCCTGAACATGCTGTGTTTAAGATGCAATATTTTACAAGATAAACTGAACAGAGATGGGATTAGAAACCAGCATGGCAAGTAAAATTTGATAACATGATCTAGACTGCTGATATACACAGTATGTTGTTCAGTTCATTAGAAGTGATGCAGGCAATTTGCTCCAAAGGCCGGATTATTGCTCTTTTCACCCTACAGACTATTAGTTGCTTGACTTACGGCCAGTTTTTTGCTCAACCTTTGTTCACAGCAATTTGAGGTCACATTATCTGAGTTCTTGGGTTCATTGCCCAAAGCTTGTGCAACTGAGAAAAAGCCCTTGCAATACTTTAAATTAATTAGGTCTCACTAAAATGCCCAAGAAAGATTTTGTTAAAACTATAGGGTGCATTTTTCATCTGAATTTCAATTTTTGCATCACTTAGTAACAAAAGTGTCTTACTACAATTATATTGAGTTTTTCTGTTAAATTCACATGTTGACTTCTTCGCGACACCAGGTTTCTGATGGTTGCTTTTACTGTTTAGTAGACCATATAATGAACAGAGGATCAACCACTGCAAGGAATAATAGAAATCAAGATAAATCCCACATTGCATTTGGATCAAAAGTCTTTGGTCCACCTCCACCTTCTGGTCGAAGATTCAGCACAAGGGCATCTGGGGAGGTAGGAAAGCACTCTTAATTACCTAAAAACAAATCTGGAGCCATTAAAAACTCCAAAATGTGTGACATATAACAATGTGTACAGTTGAAGATGTCTATTGGGAAAATGACCTTATATATACATATTGCTGAAATAAAAGGCTGGGTTAGGATTGGTACTATAATGGAGTGGGAATTCCCCTGATTTGGGCAGAGATAGGCAACCTGTGGGCCTCAGTTCTGTGGGGTGGGCAGTTCTCTGCCCCTTAGTCTAATTTCAGAAGTCATCTGCCACCTGCCCTTCTCCCTTCAGCTCACTCACTAGAAAGGAAAAAAAATAGATATAAGAAGGATAAAGGTGAGCCAAAGAACAAGGAAAGGGAGGGAGGGGGAGGTTAGATCATCCCCATCAATGGTATCTGCTTTTCCCATCACCAAACACAACACTCCTAATGCGTTAACCTCCAAGAAATATGTCCCCAAGGTACAACCCTTTCACTCAGGAGTTGGACATAAAAGGGGAGAATCCATTTTGGTTAAGAAATAACTTGGAAACTTCAAAACAAGTACAGGTTGAGCATCCCTTATCCAGATTTCTAAAATCCAAAACACTTCTGAACCCAAGCGTTGCAGATAAGGGATACTCAGTCTATATACTTAAGACAATCTTATTGAATGTGTTTGGATAATGGGTAAAAGATAAATCTTAAGTAAACAAATCCAATAATTTTATGAAGATGCATCTTGCCACTAAATACTTGTTTGATTACTGCCATTAAAAATCCAAGTTAATCATGCATCAGTAATTTTTATGTTTTTAATGCTTTCATTTGCCTGCTTGTTATTGAAATATAAGGGTTTCTGCTGCAATCTAATGTGGACTTATACTGGATTTTTAAACCTAGTTCTCAGAAGTTGCAGTGTTAATTGTAAGAACAAATGTTGGAAAGTACAGCACTTCACAAATTGCGAGAGTGATTCTTTTAACAGCTAGTTTTTTTCAAAAACTGTTTCTTCTCTCATATTCATGCACCCTTATCTATATTAGTAACATTTACTCAAAAATATCACTACTGTAAACATATACATAGCAAAAAAGAGGGACATTCTGCAGCTGCAAAGTGTACATTAAAAATCTCTTTATATGTTCACTGATTATATGGTTTTTCATTCATTAGACCTTTGGAAACTGCTTGGGCACCATTTTCAGCACAACAAAAACAACAACTAAATTCTTCTGCTAGTTACATAATCCCAGCCACTCTTGAATCATATTTCCATTGTGATGATGTCACAAATCAAAATTTACTTTGGGGTGAAAACACAAAGCCAGTCCAGAGGGGAGAGTTCTATTTCCTGTCTTTGATCTGAATTGGCATCATGACCATCAAATGTACCAACAAGCCAATATAATTATAATTTTGACTATATTTTATCATCTAGTTGACAAGATAGTCTTTCTAAAAGTACAACAGAGCATTCTAAATGTGTGTCAAGGTATTGCTATTCATTAGGTGCTTGTCAACACATTGTGAAAATATTTGTAATACTCCGATTAGGTGTCCACAGGAAAGTCCATTTTGGCATTTTACTTAAAATATACAACTTCCCCGCAAAATTATTTGCAGTAATAAGAGAAACAAATTTCTGTATAGAGAGTTGTATCTATGTTGTCTATACCAATAAACTCTGGCCTTTACTTTGTCAAATGCATTATCAGCTACACACCAAATCTTTCATAGCTACACAAAATGTTTTAACAACTTACATAACATTTTAAGCCTACACAAAACATTTTAACAACCATTTTCTGTTTAATGTATTTTCCCCTACAGTTTTGCTGCAATCAGTAAATCCTTATTCACTCATTTCTTAATGTTAAGAATACAGGTCAACTATCCCTTATCAGGAAATCCAAAATGCTCCAAACTTCAAGTGATGTGTATGAGGTGTATATGAAACATAAATGAATTTTATATTTAGACTTGGTTTCCATCTTCAAGATATATCATGATGTATATTCCAGTATTCAAAAATCCTAAAAATGTCTCATCCCAAGCATTTCAGACAAGTGAACTTTATATTTAGACTTGGTTTCCATCTTCAAGATGTATCATAGTGCATATTCCAATGTTCCACAATCCAAAAAAGTCTTGTCCTAAGCACTTCAGACAAAGTGTACATAAACCTGTATTCTCTCCAGTTACACCTGATACTGCTACTAAAGAGTTTTACTGAGATGTATGTCTCACTGTTTGGGATATTATCTCCAAAATTTGTCTCACTTTTTAAAATGTCCTAATACATGAAGAAACTAGCTTGAACTTCATATGCTGATCATCATCATCCAACATCATCTTCACTTTCTAGTGGGTTGAATTGAGTGCGTTATTTTAGTATTACTTTTCTACATTTTTACAGGTGACCAAATCTGCAACCATTAAAATGAACAGATCATGCCAGGTGCCCACTTTGGAAAAGGAAGAAGAATCAACACAAGTTCATGGCAAGACCAAACAGTCTTCCTTTCCACTTGATGTAGCTGAAGAGCAAGGAAACAAAGAAAATATCCAGTACACAAATCAAATGTTGCTGGATCATGGTAAGATAATCATGCAAGTGCTATAAAGGTTGCTGCGGAGACATTTTTCAAACTGTTCATGCATAACAGCACCAATATGGTTTTCTGTGTATTTATTTATTAATTTATTTATTACATGCATTTCTACCCGGCCCTTCTCCCCCAAAAGGGGCACTCAGGGCGGCCTCACATAAGCATCATATGATGCTGTCAACATATAGACAACAAGGATTACAACTAAAATAATAAAAATCAGTAAAACACATTATACAGCTACATTACCAAGCTCATTAAACAATAAATAAAGATGCCAGCATCATCATTAGAATACCTGCTTGAAATCAGATAATGGCGGCTTCCCCACGGAAGAAGGGAAGAGGCCTTTTCAGCATGGAGGAAGCTCTGAGAGTACAAGAGCTTAATTGATACCTGAAGGGCCTAAAGGAAATAATGGCTGGCTCTTTTCTCTTTCCTGTGGCTCTTCTGGCTTCTCCACCACAATTAAGAGAGCAGAGAAGATGGATGTTTGCTTGGTATGTACACATAGCAGGACTTTCTCTATAGCAGCATCAACAATAAGAATAATGTTATTTTATTTCTTACTGCCCTTGTGTCTTAAGGTGGGTTACAACATAGATAAAAACACATAATCATCTTAAACAGTCGATAAAATGCATAGACAGAACAAAGAGCTTAAAATTCATTATTAAAAGTGCGTGGGTAGGCTTCTGGAAGAGATAGGTCTGCAGATATGTTTTAACTAAGGAACCAGTCTCTATTACATCTGTGATGGACAGCCAAAATAGTGCTGTTCCACCTGGCCTTTTATTGCTTGAAATTGCTCTAAGTGTTTTTAAATTGTCTTTTAGGGTTTTTTTTCAATTGTTTTAATAGTTTTGAAATTGTATTTTAGGATTGTTTTTAGATTATTTTCAAAATCTAAAAGATTGTGATTTAAAAGAGTACTTTAAAATGTTTGTAAACTTTGTACTGTTTACATTAATTTTGTTGTCGTTGTTGTCATTGCCTTGTGATCCCTTGTTAGCTGGGAGTCGATATAGAAATACTTTAAATAAATATATCGACTCATCAAGATATAAAGTTTTCATAAAAGCTTGTAGGGAAAGAGAAGTTGTCCATTATGAAACATATCTACTGTGAAATCACAGTGTGAATGTACAGTGAAACTTTCAGACTGGCAAGTAGAGATGGGAGCTACGGTATTTGGCTATTCAGTACATTGATACAGGTTTAGGTGTTAAATTACATGTGGTGGAATGATTTATTAAGCAGGTCTTTTTGAAGAGATATAGTATGTATGTGAAGCTAGAGAGGATGTGTATGAATTAGAATGTTGGAGTAAGGAGAGAGAGTGTGTCAAAGTTAAGGAGAAAAATGACAGAAGAGTAGTAAGTTTGGAATGAGTGAGCTGATAAAGAAAGAAGTGGCTTGTGTGAGTTTAAGAGTAGAAAAAGAATAAGCGGAAATACAAGGGAAATGTATTATGATGTCAAGGAATACCATGAAATGGGTAGAAAAAGTGACATCCAGAACTGAAGAAATCCTTTGATACAAATAGGATCTTGTGGTAACAAGTTCAGTAGGTTCAAACCCTCCCCCCCCCAATTGAAGGGCCTGACTTGCATCCAGGGGTGAGGCAACAGGAAGTGAGAGGAAATCTACCCCTAGGAAGGGAAATTCACCCCAGTTAGAGTCTAAGAGTTATAATGGGAGAAAAGGTTCCACACTGAAGCTGTAAATGTTGGGTTTTCACAAGAACCCAACATTTTCAAAATTCGGTTATCACAGAGACAGAAAGTGAAGTGAAATCTTCTCTACAGGGGCACAGGCATGAAAACAAAGAATACAAAGGTGTTAACCCTTCCCTACGCTATCAAAAATTGTCTGCAGTTACATTAAAGAGATATACCTCTTCCATATAACATACAAATTCAACTTAAGAACAAACCTAGATAACCTATCTTGTTTGTAACTCAGTGAATGCCTATAGAAGGAAAACTTGTGATGGCTAATTACACATTCAGATTGTCATTTTATGAACTTGCATGTCTGAATCAGCCCTTATAGGATGGTTCTATATGGACACAATATCCCCAGGTCAATCCAGTGGCCATCCCATGTCTCGGGGCCACCCGAATCCAGGAACATAGGATTGCATGTAAACAGTTGCAGTCACTTCTGTCTTAAAACATATCTAAATGTTTACATGGGCTCAAAACTGTGGTTTTATCTTTATTCTTGGGGAAACTGGAACAAAGCATAACTTTTGTTAATGCTGTTCAAGCCACGTTAACCCGAATCAGCTCTATATGTCATGTAGCGGCCACAGGGCAGATTCTCACTCCCCTCGAGGATAAGTAAGCATGCCCATAGTTTTATATTTGTAGGGAATATGTTTTATTTCAAATTTGCTCAAAGTTGAAGCCTGAAAATTAATTTGTTTTTTTAACTCCCTGTGCTGTGCAGCCATTTCGTCTTCCCCAGTATGCAAGACAAGTTGCAGAATAGTATATTCAAAAAGTGATGGCCCGAAAGGCACTAAGATAGTCAGTGGCATGGTACAAGTTTTATGTTTTTTAACATCTCTGCTCTTTTAAAGTAAGAGAATAAATCTCTGTGTTTCAAAGGATTCTAAAGCAATTCGCATAAAATATAAATGTCTGCACTGCAGGGATTATGGAAATCAAACACCCTGCAACGGAATTTGCTTCAGAGCATTGATAAAGATTTGCAGGATTAAACAAAGACTACCAGAACAGTGCATATAAATAAAGAACTCCCATGCTTTCATGATTAAAGAGAAAGAACTAAAAATAAATTATTCTTGTAAGCCCTTATTAAATTTAAGCACCAAAAGAACCCAATCATCAAGTAGAGTGAAACTTTTTACTTGTCCTAGTTAGTTACTAATGTCTGCTTTTCATTCTATTATATTTGATATCTCTATGGAACAGGTTTCATTTAAAAAATAAAAAAGGCAAAGTGGTTCATTTGCTATGCAGTTTGTTTCCTCTGGCCTCTGAGACAGCTGCGTAATGAACAATCGGTCTACTATACTTACCAATCAAACCTATACTACCTTATTATTACCTCCTAAGCAATGTGGGCAACCTTAGAATGACCTTATTCCACTAAGGTGATCAAAGCTTTGCAAACTCATGACTTCCTAATAGGAAAGACTGAACATTCTGTAGCCATGAATTTTGCCTTCGCATGACAAAATAAGCTCAGCATTCCCCCAGTTTATTTTATCCCATTACTGTATTGTTTTTTCCTTCCAGTTCTTTATCTGTTTAACCTCTGCGCATAAAAAGTTTCCTAACTCAAATTCTTAAAAAGTCCTCCTAAAATATGACTAGATTCAAGACTATATTTATGAGTTAGCAATTGATGAGAATATTGTTGAGCTAGTGGTCCAGTCTCAGATYTTTGCAAGTATAAATAGTAAAGGCTAATTACAATGTGATTTAAAGGTTTACAGCAGTGTTTCTCAACCTGGRAATCAGGACCCCTGGGGGGGGGGGTCTCAAAGATATGTCAGAGGGGACACCAAAGACAATCAGAACACACAGTGTGGGGGTTCTGTGTGGGAAGTTTGGCCAATTCTATCGGTGGGGTTCAGAATKCTCTTTGATTGTAGGTAAACTATAAATCTCAGCAACTATAACTCCCAAATATMAAGGTCTTCTTTTCYCCCAACTCCACCAGTGTTCACATTTGGGCATATTGAGYATCTGTGYCAAGTTTGATCCAGATCCAACATKGWYTGAGTCCACAGTGCTCTCTGGATKTAGGTGAACTACAATTYCCAAACTTAAGGTCAGTGCCCACCAAACCCTTCCAGTATTTTCTGTTGGTCATGRGAGTTCTTTGTGCCWAGTTTGGTTCAATTCCATCATTGGTGTTCAGAATGCTCTTTGATTGTMRGTTAAYKATAAATCCCAGCAACTTCAACTCCCAGATGACAAAATTARCTCCCCCACAACCTCACCAGTATTCAAATTTGGGCATATCGGGTATTTGTGCCAAATTTRGTGCAGTGAATGAAAATRCATCCTGCATATCAGATGTTTACATTACGATTCATAACAGTAGCAAAATTACAGTTATGAAGTAGCAACGAAAATAATTTTATGGTTGGGAGTCACCACAACATGAGGAACTGTATTAAGGGGTCATGGCATTAGAAAGGTTGAGAACCACTGGTTTAAAGGCTTCTGAGTGAACAGAAGGGATGAAAGTGAGAATCTGACACTGAGTGCAACCTGATTTCACGGCTAAAAACATTATCAAGGATCTTACCGCTGTGAAGACGGTGATCAGGAAAGTTTTTTTATGTGTATTCTACAGAGTGTTTTTAAATTATTGTGTGTTTGGATCATGGGTTTTAGCAATGTTGTAATCCACCTCTAGCCGTGAGGAGAGGCAGGTAAGAAATAAAATTATTATTTGAAATACAACAATTTGAGTCCACAGCAAACAAGATCACTCTGCTGGCTGTTGTATTGGATCACACGTCGGACATTTCCCAAGTGTTTGTTTTTTAACATGATCGTGAAGTCAGGAGTATTGTACTCCAAAACTCTGTCAGTCTGAATTCAGAAGTCCCAAAGTAGTTTGACCTGTTCATTTTCTGTAACTTTTAACATTTTCAGGCTTGTGATCCCACCAGTTCTTTATCACAGGCAGATGATGATGATGATGATGATGATTATTATTATTATTATTATTATTATTTTATGCTATCAGTGATCTATCCCTGTGTACATGTGTATAAAATTCCCAAATTAATCCCCAATGATGTCTGTTAAGAACTTTAACCAAAAAAAATCACAAGGCTGGAATTAAGCAATCTAAATGAATAAAGAAGTAACAACAAGCCAAAACTTGAGATATTTGACAGAATAGTTTATTATGTGGACAGAGTGAGAACAATCCAGGTCAGAAATAACACATAAAACAACATGTCTTGATACAGTGCAGACAGTCCCAAAGTTACAAGCAAGATAGGTTCTGTAGGTTTGTTCTTAAGTTGAATTTGTATGTAAGTCAGAACAGCTACATTTTTAAAATGTAACTCCAGATGGATGGATGGATGGATGGATGGATAGATAGGTATGCTTAGGACAGCAAGTGAAAGGTGAGTTGTTTGCAGCCTTTTATGATAGAGAGAGAGAGAGGAGAGAGAGAGAGACTGAGACCAAGACCTTATTGTTCCTGATATTAATATGAAGGAAAACAGTAGTGATAAGGAAAACAAACAGGAGAACCCTATGTCTTTTAAGATCAAAGAATCGGAAAGAAGATTCAAGGTTTGATTACAAAGGGAGTGAAGGATAAATATTTGTCTCAGTTATGATTTTCATCTGGTATTGTTCCATAAAGCAGAGATGATCTGTATTGCTTTGTTATAATTCTTTCGGTTTAAAATGGAAATTCTTTGAATTGATGACAAAGAGAATGCATAAATATATCTCCCCTTACAGGTGCACAGTGCTATTACAAAAGGAAAATAGTTTGGGGCAAAGAAATAAATAAAATGAATGTGTATTGTCTCTCATTTGTCGGTCTTATTTATACCATTTTTAAAATCTTCATTAAAATGTTACTGTGCAATTAGACGATCCAGCATAAATCTGACTCTGCACAGAAACTAATTAGACATTTGGGTTGATCATTCTTGCATTTATCTTGTTTGCTGCAATACTGTGATTATATGGTAATTTACATATTTTTTCCTGACTATTCATTACAGTTGATATGAAAACACTTGTTATGTGTACTCCCCCCGTGGAAGAATTCCAGTATAATTTGTTGCTGAGAGGATAAAAGATTTAGTTTAGTCTGGAGCAGTCCTCTTGTTTATTTTGAAATACTATCAAGGCCTCATATGACTTGCTTTATCTACAGTTTAGGTGTCAAATAGCATTTTAAAGTCATGTATGCTCACTTTCTCCCTCCTCTGTAGTACACTGAGTTGAAAAGTATAGTGGATCTTTGTAGGGGTTGATGCCAGGACCTCCAATGAATGCTGAAATCCATGGATGCTCAAGTCCTATTATACACAATGGCACAAAAAATGGGATCTACGTTACATGGCAAAATCAAGGTTTTCTTTTGGGAATTTAAAAAAATTAAAGCTATGGATGGTTGGATCCATGCATAAGGCCAACGGTATGTTTGCTTTGCTCAAACTATCTGCCTAAAAGAGAAATAATTATTTGCTTCTCATTCTACTATGAATGAAAGATCATCCATTGCTATCAAATATAACCAAGGCAAAAGCAAAACTTTTGCTTTATTTGCGTTCTTCAGATTGCAGGCAGGAAGAAATGTGAGAGCTGTTCAGCAGTGGAAGTCTCTGCCCCGGAGAGTGGTGGAGGCTCCTTCTTTGGAGGCTTTTAAACAGGCTGGGTGGCCATCTGTCGGGGGTGCTTTGAATGTGATTTTCCTACTTCTTAGCAGGGGGTTGGACTGGATGGCCCACAAGGTCTCTTCCAACTCTATGATTCTGTGATTCAATCCTGTCCAAGTTAAAAAAAACTATCCAACCAGAACATAGACAGCGCTGAAGGCAGGGCTGTGCTCTTCTCCCATGTTGCATAACACTCCTCTTATGATGGCTTGCTAGGCTCCATTTGTGTTAGTCACAGTGACTCCAAATAAGAACAGCTTGCTTACCTGTAGCTGTAGTTCTTTGGATGATATGTGGTGAACTCAGAGAACCGTGCCTCTCATCCCCTCATTGTGCCCTGGCTTCCTTAGTTGCATTGCTGCTGCTTCAGAGTCCATAGCTAATTTCTAAATGTCATACATTTCTGCATTCTGACAGTGTAATAACTGTTAACTTGTTGCTTTCTCAATGGGCAGATCATGTAATTGTTGCAGTGTGACTTCCATTTTCATTTGTCATATGAGACTTTTTAAAAGTGATAGTCTTGGTCGATGCAGGTTCTAGCGACCAAGTCTTATAGTGCTGTGCTGAATGAAGAGAATGATGCATACTTGGATGGTTCTCCTTTTCCCTAGATGTTACTTAAGGATCCACCTTCATCAATCACATTGACAATTTTCCTTAACATCATTTCAAACAATAAAGTATAATTAAGTAGTGAAAGGGCAAGAAAACTCATTTTTGTATTTACCAAGTACATTCAACCTTTCCGTGGTTTTATGTGTTGCTTTAAAATGAAAGATGAGTACTGCCTGCTTGAAGGGGAAATTGGCAAAATGGATATAGTCATGCCTTTTTATGTCACCCATGTTGCAGCACAGAGCTATGTATTTGAGATTCAATATAAATCAAACACAAGGGCATGAAAATAGATGTTGGAATATTTGAGGCATTCTTTAAGGCAAATGAGTTTTTGTTTTGCTTTGCTTTAGTTTTATGAGAAGGAAACCAGAAAATGTTTCAATAAGCTGATGTTCAAGTGTTCTTCAAGTTCCAGCATAATGAAGAAATATCATCATATCTCTGTTTGCAATTGGTCAGACTAGAAAGATTCAGGTCTCTTTGATTAAGGAGAGCCATTAGGTATAAGAATACACAATGCTGAACATGATAGGATCGTGATCTTATTCTGTGGGAGGCTCCTAGTTTGTTATATAGAATGAATGGGAAGAGTTGGATTTCTGTTAGCTCAGCCATCATGGCCAGTGGTGCAAGAAGGTGAGGGTTGCAATGCAAACAATCTGGAGATACACTCTCTATCCTTATGATATCGTTTATGTTTTCTACGTCTAATATTGACAATTCTCGATTACTGTACTTCCTTGATTCTAAGATGCCCCTTCCCCCCAAATAAACATATCTATAAACAGTGGTGCATTTTAGAATTGTGTGTGCTTTTCATATATAAATAATAATCTTTTTTTTCTTGGTGGTACTGAAATTCATGTGTGTCTTACAATCAATGGTGTCTTAGAATCAAAGAAATACAGCATATTCCTTGTAATGCTCATAGTTGCTTGATCCTTTCTCCTGGAACAGACATTTTTATGTGAAAACTATTGACATCCTGTATTGAACTTTTCTTCTTTGCAGATGAATGGATCTTCCCAGACAAAAAAAATTCTCATCTGGATTCCAGCAGTCCACCACAAATGGCTTGTGAAACATCCTATGGCTTTTTAACATCACCACTGGATGACAACCAAACCTGTGAAAACAAACAAACACTTCAAGTTGAGCAGGAGGACGTTTTCACATATTCCTCAAAACCTAGATCAGCACCTCATGGGAAACCCCTAAATCTTTCATCTGATGACTGCAGCTTTTCTGTGGATTTAAAAGAAGAGATGAATGGGGCCTGGCGAGGTGCTCAAATGGAGGATGACTTCTTTGGAAATGAGAGCAATGAAGAGGTGAATTATTTTTGGTTGTAGCTATAGCTTGTCTTTTTTCTGCTCTAATATATTGGACACTACCTCTTGTCATTATGAGGCAGGAGTTCCGTCTAGCTTAATATGTGAGGGGATTGGAGAGAGAAAGAGAGAACAGCTGTTCATCAACATATCTGGACTGGCATTAAAGGTTACATTAGCAAAAAATAGATTTCTGCCTGAAGAACAAAATCAAAATGTCAATAGTAGGATAGCTGAAAAGGTGGGGCAGGGATGAAAGAGAAATGTGAGCAAAGTTCAGTTAAATGTAGGAATGCTTATGGCATTCATTTGATTCAGATTTTTAAGGTAACTATTCCGATTCCAGCTTTAGACTAATATGCACATCCGAACATAATTACCACTTACGTTTTTTATCCATTTTCTAGGATAAAATGCAATCAAAACTCATATAATGTTGATAATTATCCAAAATAATTCAAATTTCCATACGTATTTGAAAACATAAACTAGTGTATATACCTGGTATTGTCCATGTGTCATTGGTACTGTTGTCATTAGGATAAACAGAGTGTTGGGGAAATATATTGCATAGTTTTCATATTTTTCCTTGTCAGTTATTACAGCTCCATTTTTGAAGAAAAGTTTAATACATGTAATTGAAGCCCAATATTTTGGGGTTTTGTTATATGTCACAGATAAGTCTGCAGTAACATCTGGAGAGGAAGGTGCCTTTTTCATAGTGAATGTGGGCCAAGATAATGACTTTATATATTTCTTCTAAAAATGGATGGCAATTTCAGGAGCATTATTAAATATGCAGACAATATTGTGCTCTAATATGACTGAAGAATATCTTAGTAGAAAGCAACAGCTACCTTTCTGATTAAAAACCATCAGCAGATTTGTCATGTCAGTCAACTATTGCATCAGGTGGCTATGGTAACAATTAGCCATCTCTGCCTTTGTTAACATTTCAGGCCCCTTTCTTTTTCTTTGTAGTAACCATGTTTTATTGCTTAAATCTCTTTCTGCTGATTAATAAAGTATAGCATTGTTTATGATGCTTACAAAAGGATTAAAGGTTTTACATAAAATCTCAATCGCTTTCTCTCAGAAAGCTGTAGTTATGTTAAAACAATAACCGACAGCTGAATTCTGACGTTTCTGCATCTCCCCATTGACCTGTTGTTGTTGTTAGATTCTATGATTTCAGTATTAAATCAATAAAAATCTTACATCATAAATCCTGAACAACTGTGGTCATCATCACCATATGGTATCTGTTTTTCAAACTCTTTGTCGGTATTAAGAACTGTATAAATCGTTTTCCTGCAAACGTTATTCCCCAGAAAAACAAACCATTAGAAAAATAGCATGAAGGACTGCAGTAGTGAATATTTTTTCTTCTTACTGATGTATCCTTTTGTGTTCTTTCCAACTGAATGGTTGTTTGTTATTTTCTCCACAAAAGTAAACCATTAATGGATGTGTGCCTTTTAATGGGTGTCCTCTTTGGATTGCTTACTCAGACATCAAGCTTTGTGTTCCTTACACTAATTTTTCCTACAACTTTCAAACTCCTCCCTGGGTTTAATAACTAGGGGCCATAAGGTGATTTAATCCTGAACAAATTGGATGTCTTTTATGTTATCGTAAAAATGTGTCAGATTTATACTATGACAATTTAAATAAAAGGCATCTAAGAAAAACGAGTAGAATAACAAAACATCAGATATTTATTCATTAATAGATTAAACATCTATCACAGGCATGGGCAAACTTCAGCCTTCCAGGTGTTTTAGACTTCAACTCTCACAATTCCCAACAACTAGTAAGCTGGTTGGGATTTTTGGAAGTTGAAGTCCAAAATGCCTGAAGGGACAAAGTTTGCCCATGCCTGATCTATCATATAGCTGGCTTCATAACTACCCTGTTTCCATGTAACAACTTGTAAAAAAGCAATAACTTTCCCCCACTGTTGTTGAAAATGCTGTTTTCTTTTCAAATCACCCATATATTAATTTTGTACAACTATGGTATTTTCTGCACACAACATCCTGTGCACAAAATGTTGTTTATGGCACAAAATAACCATATGTGAATTTTACTCAGAATAAGCCCTGAAATGCAAAGATTTTAATCAGTTCAGGATTTTTCTTGTCAAGGTTTCTCAATTCTTGAAAAACATTTTTCTGTTGTTTTTAATATTTAAATATTTTTCCATCCCTAATATGGAGTGGGTGGGAAGATATTCATCTATATCAAAAAGAACTTGCTAAATGTCTTTATTATTAACAGGTTACTGTAAACCTAGGAGCCCCTGGTGGCTCAATGAGTTAAATACTTGTGCCGGCAGAACTGCTGACTGAAAGGTCAGCAGTTCAAATTCGGGGAGTGGGGTGAGCTCCCATCTGTCAGCTCCAGCTTCTCATAAGAGGACATGAGAGAAGCCTCCCACAGGATGGTAAAACATCCGGGCGTCCCCTGGGCACCTCCTTGCAGACGACCAATTATATCACTCCAGAAGCAACTTGCAGTTTCTCAAGTCGCCCCTGACATGAAAAAAAAGTGTAAACCTGACTACTATGGATTCTGCTCCTGCTGAGTACAGACTGCTTTTGCCTTTCTCCCTCACCCTATTTTTGTTTCACTTTGTTAACTTCATAGGAGCCAAATATGACCATTCTGTTGGTCGGGGTCAGTGATGTGGTTTTGATCTGGATTCTCATTGCACCACTGAGGCTGCAATTGCTAAATAAATTCATTAAATGGATGCCATTTATGCTCTCATGACTGTGCAGCATTGCGTTTGTTATCCCCAAAGCGCTCCTCTTCTCATTCACATTTTAATGAATAAAACTCTTCTTCTCTTCACAAAGCATGTTAACTTTGGCTTCTCAACATGAAAGATCTGCTTACAAAAGGACTAGGTACCATCTGCTCCGAAGTGGGTAGCTCTCAAGAAAGATCTTTTTTAAAATTATGCCTCAGGAAGAGCAATCAAGTTTTCTGTATCCAGAAAATTATTGTCCAAATACCCATCTGCATGTTCTTTGAAGGAAGGTGATAAGGCAATAGAAGAGCCATCTCCTTGGGGAAATCAGCCTCTTCACTGTACATATGCCATGCTACAGTTAATCAGACATACTTTATTGAAGTTCTTGGCACTGTCAGATGATTGAATAGTAGATATTCAGGTGGGGGGAAATGCAGCATAGAAATGGAAATGTGTATTGATGAGTAGTGTTCAGATCCAAATAAGGAGCATTTAGTTAAAATGTGATTTAGTGATTTTTTGAAAAAAATGTAATTTTCTAAATCAAGTTATCCTAATGTTTAAAGTATTAACTCAGATGGCCAATAAAAGTCTAGGGTGATGTTTGTGTAGGTGTGGAAAATAATGGTATGTCTCTTAACAGAATCAGTACTGAAGAGGATAAAGCAATATTTGTTATCTCATGATCAATATCTCTCATGTATAAAAAGATGTGAAGTTTATGAGTACAGAGGACACTTACAAAATACACATAAAGCCTACATAACAAGAAGTATGAGGCAAAATCAGGGAATGATGGAAAGAAGTTTTATTTATTTGCTGCTCTTTTAGAATCTCATTCTTCCTCTAAGGCAGAGATGTCAGAATTATTTTCATTGAGGCCACATCAGCCTTATGATTGCCTTCAAAGAACCCTTTGATCCATGGATGGAAAAGCAGTGTATACAGAGGACCAACTATAATTTTTTTACATAGTGATCAGTGCTTTTTTATCCAGTTCAGGTCCCCAGATGTTATTAAACGACAACTCCCATCACTTTTGATTTTCCGCCATGTGGACCAGGGATAATGGGAATTGCAACCCAATAGCACTTGTGACTCTGAGGTATTAGAAAGGTTAAGGGACATTTTGATGTCAGACATCCTACCCACAGGCCTTACATCTAAATTCAAACCCCATTATTCTATCTAAACTGAACAAGTTGCAGCCTTCCAGGTGTTGCTGTATCACAACACCCACCAGCTCTAGTCATGATGTCTAATGATGAAAGAAACAGAAGTTGTGGTAAAGCATCTGGGCATAAAATGTCATAGCGAGTAAGATTTGGCCCGCAAGCCTTGAGTTTGACACTTGTGCTCTAAGGGGCTCAAGGCAGCATGCATCAGTCCTGTAATTTGTCCTTTTAGCCCTATTCAATGCAGTTGGGTAGGCTGAGAACTGAATTCTCATCTCCCTGTTTCTACTCTGGCACAGTAACCATTGATGGCTGTTGCATTTTTTCCACCGGTAAAACATTATTTAATAAAAGATGAAAGCCAAATTATATGTGCCAAAGCCATCACTGACATGCCTATACATTTAGCTATAAAGCAATGACATGGAGATGTTGACAAAATGGAATGTGTCCAGAGAAGGGCGACTAAAATGATCAAGGGTCTGGAGAACATGCCCTACAAGGAGCTGCTTAAAGAGCTGGCATGTTTAGCCTGCAGAAGAGAAGGCTGAGATGAGACAAGGTAGCCATGTATAAATATGTGAGGAGAAGTCATGGGGAGGAGGGAACAAGTTTGTTTTCTGCTGTCCTGGAGACTAGGACATGGAACAATGACTTCAAACTACATCAAAGGAGATTCTACCTGAACATGAGGAAGAACTTCCTAACTATAAAGCTGTTCAGCAGTGGAACTCTCTGCGCCATAGTGTGGTGGAGGATCCTTCTTTGGAGGCTTTTAAACAGAGGCTGGATGGTCATCCGTTGGGAGTGCTTTGAATGCAATTTTCCTGCTTCTTGGCAGGGGGTTGGATTGGATGACCCATGAGGTCTCTTTCAACTCTATGATTTAATGAATACCAGTTGCTGCAAGCTAAACTTCAGAGAAAGAAACTGGTAAAACCATTCCTTTCCTAAGAAAACCCTGTGTAAATCATGGGGTTGCCATAAGTCAACAGGCAACTTGTAGGCACATACGCACAGAGAGATAAAGAGTAAAATGAACACAAGGGAGTGGCAAACTACATAGTTTTTATTTCGGAACGATGTGATGTCAGTTGATTCAAATTGTTTCCTTTGTTACTTTTTTCTGTAAGAAGAAATGGTCATAGTACCAGAGTGAAAGAAGATAAAACACAGGACTGAGAAAGATTGAATGCCCTTCTCTTACTCTTTAAGTGCCTTTCCCTTGTGTTCTTACAAAGAGAATCCTTTACAAATAATTTTCACACATCCTTTGTGATATAGGCTGGACACTATATGTTTTCCAAAAGTTAAATTCATGAAGCGTATGTAATGGAAGATAAAAAGGAAGGAAGTGTGGCTGGTGTCTTCATAGAGTGATAAATCTAATGTCTGTGTTACGGACAGTGAGAAAGTACAGGATTGCTATGAGGTTTTGCCTGTTTACCTGTGCTAACATATCAATAATGAGATAGAGCTAGGGAGAGTCTAGCCAAGGGAGAAAACATTCTTCATATAGTCAGTATCTTGGAAAATCTTGATATTGTGTTTCAGTTACTGGAAGCTTGGCTCTATCCTTTTGATGGCTCCTAATTAATGATATACTCTTTCATGCTCTAAATAAATATTTTATTTAACCATTCTGAAACTGAAATAGATTCTTCTCATTCTATAATACTTCTGTTGCAGTAGCATTTCTTTACATTTGGTAATTGATATAAATAAGGTTTCCTCTCTGTTAATCTTCCATTTATGTTGGATGAAAGAAAATGTAAATTCTTTTAAAAGGTATCTATGAAGTATCTATTTTTATGTTGTCAAAGGCTTTCATGGCTGGAATCATTGGGTTGTTGTAGGTTTTTCGGGCTTTACGGCCATGTTCTAGAAGTATTCTCTCCTGACATTTCGCCTGCATCTATGGCAGGCATCCTCAGAGATAGCGACCTCACAACCTCTGAGGATTCCTGCCATAGATGCAGGCGAAACATCAGGGGAGAACACTTCTAGAACATGGTTATACAACCCGAAAAACCTACAACAACCCAGGATCTATTTTTGTTTTCAAATAAATAGACAAATAAACAGTTTCCTATCCTGTGACCGGTATGATTTAACTTCTAATCCAGGATGACTGGAGAACTTACAATGCCAGTGGGTGAAAAATGGTCCTCAAGGTAATATTTTATTTTGTCGTCTTTTCCTTCACTAGGATGATAGCTACATTGAATTTATGGAAGAGGATCAGACCAGCTCCTTTTTATCAAGATCATCAGAACCTGCAATTTCTGAAGAGATTCCACTCAAAATTGCATCCCAAAATCCCGACAACTTGGCAGATGGAAAAACATTGTCACCAAGCAAAGAAGATTCAGTTGTGATGACAGAAAAGGCAGATAACGTTCCAAAAAGCTTTTTGCCAACTTGTTGCTTGTCCCCAAGAAGAAGCATACCCGGGCCCATTAAGGAAATATCTGAAATACCAAAGGATGCATCAGGCCCATTGAGAACTTCCATAAGTAGAAAATCCTTGAAGGAAATCCCACAGGAGAATTCAAATCCAATAGACCAAATCCCTGTAAGTATTTTGAGGAATCGGGTAAATATTAAGTTTTTCTTTTTAGTTTGAATAAACGGAATGGGGGGTACCCCAGGTTCTGTATCCTTTTCTATCCACTTAAAAAGTTTTGCATAACATATTTGTGTTTACATAGAAAGGGACAAAAAGCAATAATATAATTATCAAGTAAAGGACAAAATAAATCTATAATACAAAGTTAAAAAGCAATAAATCAAGGTCAGTGGAAAGCAAAATAAATCCATGGCAAATAGGGTTACCATCAGGGCTACTAAAATCAAGACTGGGCAGCACTATCGTCCATAGGCTGTATCTGACCTGTCAGTCACTGTAAATGATAACAGGGGTTGAATATACGTACCTAGTCCTGCAAAAATAAGTTTGCAAAAGTTAGAAGAGATGAATGCAGATCATTCTACAGGTTCCTGGATGAAACAAATTTAACTAGCGTTATCTCAGTCTGGCTTCAGGACTAATTATGGGACAGATATCGATTTAGATATCTTTGTGGATGTCCTCCACTAGAAGAGAGATCAGGGTAATGTGATTTTTTATTTTTCTGGACCTCTCATTCGCTATGACACCCTTCTGGGTGCCTCTCTGGGACACTGAGGGGTTGTTTTACAATGGCTCTATCTCTTCCTGTAGGGTCAAACTAAGAAGGTGGTGCTGTGGGGCTCCTGTTTAACATCCTAAGTACCATAGTCTGTGGTATCCCAAAGGGTTCAGTCCTATTAACGTATGTTGCTTAACATATACAAAGCTGGTAGATGTTATCTACAGATTTGAGGTTTGGGATCACTAGCTGGCAGGTGTCACTCAACTCTATCTTTCCGTTTCATCTAGCTCCAGTGAAGCTGGTCTCAGTAATGTGGCGAACACATTGAAACTTAACCCAAAAAAAAAATAAATGCTCTTAGTCAGAAGGAAGGTAATGGAATTCAATCTATGCTGAGCAGAGTTGCATTCCTGAAATCTTGAATTCACACTTTGGGCTGAAACCCATATTTCAGTGGTGGCCAGGAGTGTGTTTGTCCATTTAAGACTAGCATACTAGCTGAGTCCATTTCTGGAGTTATCAGGTCTGGCTGTTGTAACCCATGTCTTGATAACGTTATGTTTGAATCAGTGTACACTTTAAATGAGGCTACCTTTGGAAATAGTTCAGAAATTTCAGCAAGTCCAAAATGCTATAGCTAGACTTCTGAGCAAGGCGGTTTCCATTTGCTCCTGGGCCAAGGCATGACAAAGCCATGCCTACCTCTTCTACTACCAATACAAGAAAAGTGATGCCATAGTGACAGCTCTTGTTAACTTCTAATATTGCTGAGATTTTTTTGATTTGTTGTCTGTGAGGATCAGAACCAGTCCTTACCAATACTCAAAGTTCCTGAGGACATTTTCATACCCTTGTGAATGTTCAAACTGTGATGACTGAAAAGGGAAAATCCTTCTGACAGAAATGGTTAGCATGAGGGGAAAGCCTCTCAGTGTCTGAATGAATGTCACATTCACAGCTGAGTGGGCATTTCCATTCCAACTCATGTGCCAGTGACAGCCAGACAGGATTTTTGTCATTTTTATAGCATATGACTTATTTGCTTGAGCTTCATAAGGTTGTAACCTAGCATTGGTTATACAGGCAGTCCCCTACTTACAAACAGCACATAGTTAAGAATGGGGGTGAGACAACAGAAAGTGAGAGAAATATACCCCCCAGGAAGGGAAATTAATTCCTGAAAGAGTTATCATGAGGAAAAGGTATCTCAATCCTTATTTCCACAACAAGCCATTTTTTTCAAAATCCAATTATCACAGGGACAGAAAGTGAGGTGAAATCTTCTGAACAGAGGCACAGTCAGCAAAACAGAAATCACAGGGGTGTTGACCCTTCCCTATGCTATCCAAACCACACACACACACATATAGCTGGAGTTACACTTTAAAAATGTACCTGTTCCGACTTACATGCAAATTCAACTTAATAAAAAAACCTACAGAATCTATCTTGTTCATAACTTGGGGACTTTCTGTTATGTAATCCATTATAGCATGCTTAAGATTCCACATACAGTGAAAATATGCAGACTATGTATTTATTTTCACATGGTCCTCCATAATGAGCTCTGTTACCAACATATTCATTTTTCTTATAGTATAGGGCAGTAGTTCTCAACCTGTGGGTCTCCAGATGTTTTGGCCTTCAACTCCCAGAAATCCTAACAGCTGGTGAACTGGTTGGGATTTGTAGGCCAAAACATCTGGGTACCCACAAGTTGAGAACCACTGGTATTGGGGCTTGACAGTACAAACAAGGGCATGAATTATTGTCCTTTATATGAAGTGACTTCAAAATTACATCATAGTATCTTTTAAATATGTTCTGTCCTTATCACACTAAGAATGAGGAAGAGAAAAGACTGGTATGAAAACACACCAACTCCATTTCTTTCTGTTTGATTTCACTGGCCTTTCTCCAGTTATGTTGTTACTTACAATTTGCATGGGGAGAAGACCTAGACGTGCTACAGATACTCTTTTGGTTTAATTCCAACCCGGTTATTCTGTTCTTATTCAGTTTAATTAATCTTCCAAGTGCTACTATCCTAGATTTCCTGGAGGAAAAATGCTATGCCTTGATAGTTTCAATAAAAACTGTGGTGGCTCAAATATCCAAGCAGAAACAATGCAAGTTTGTTGTAGTCTTACAAGATAAACTTTTGAAGTCTGTTAATTACCAAAACAAGCTCATTTAAGAGGGCTGAAATCCTGGAGGGGTGAATTGACAGATTTTCAATAGCAATCTGCAGGCGAACTCAGAAGATCATTAGTCTCTCTGCATTTTGTAGTGTCGCTGCAGCCATCCAGAAAAATAATAAATGATATGATTGAAGGCTAGCAGTAAGGTACTGTCATATACCAACTCTCCAGGCTATTTTGGGTATTGTAGTCATGTCAGTCAAATTGATTCTTCTCCCTCATGTGGTTTTACTCCCCACCATGTACTCTAGTTGCAGCAATAGCTAGTTATGCAAGAACAAATTAGCCTGCTGCAAATGAAATGATAATACGTTGTGTCTTTCTTAATAGTTAAAAGTCCCCCCTGAATGTTATATATTAAATTGCCTGCTACGAACAGGAAGTTTATAAACTTTTAAATGTTGTGGGAGTAGCCAAGCCACTCTGAGCTGTCAAATTCATATTGACACTTTTTGGACAGTTACATTCTTTGCTGTGAAGAATATACAATTTTATTGTAATGCATTCTGACTTTCCAGAACAGTTTCTACTTGGCTGTGTTTTTGATCCCGGCAAGTATCAGAGTCTTTACTATAGGGATCTCAAACACATTCTCATTCTCTATGGTATGTCTTTTGTTTCCTCTAGAGTTTAGATCCCTCTGCTTCTTCTCTACTGTCCCATGTTCTTATCAATATTCTGTACAATTGGTGTCTATGGGCAAGATGTTCATATGCCTAAAGAGTTACTCCACTTATATTTCATAGCCAAGACATTGGCGGAGAAAAAGTGTAAGGAGTTTTCCAAGACAGTGGATGCTGCAGTTGAATTTATGAAAGAGAGAACAGGAGCAGGGAGACCTTCACAAGATCTAAAATTTGGAATACAGTAGCAGTTTGGAGACCTGTTGTGAAACGTTGGTTAGAATCCCATTAATTCAACTAAAAAAACCCAGTGGCGCACAAGGATGATTAAATAGCAAACATCTGGGCGTCCCCTAGGCAATGTCCTTGCAGACAGCCAATTCTCTCACACCAGAAGCGACTTGCAATTTCTCAAGTTACTCCTGACACCTGGGGGGGGGGGGCTAAAGGAGACCCACGGAATCAGTTGCTGTGTGGTAGGTTAACATATAGATAAAATCATAAAGTTGGAACAAAGCCCAAGGGCCCATGCCATGCAGAAATATACAATCAAAGGTAAACCTAATAATGTAGATGCAATGATTCTACTATAGTCAAAATTAACAGTAGAAAGTAAGCCTTTGACTTCCAAAAAATTAACATTAAAACCAGAATAAGCTATTATAATAACTGCATTGCATGCTAAAATATTAAAAATTACACAATTTAAACAATACAACACTTACAGCCCTTTGGGTTGTTGTAGGTTTTTCAGGCTATATGGCCATGTTCTAGAAGCATTCTTTCCTGACGTTTCGCCTGCATCTATGGCAGGCATCTCAGAGGTTGTGAGGTCTGTTGGAAACTAGGAAAATTGGGTTTATATATCTATGGAATGTCCAGGATGGGATGTCCGGGTTGGAGTTAGATGTGAATATTTCAATTAGCCACCTTGATCAGCAGTTGATAGGAGTGACTTGTTACTGCCTGGGGGAATCCTTTGTTGAGAGGTGATTAGTTGTCCCTGATTGTTTATTGTCTGGAGTTCCCCTGTGTTTGAGTGTTGTTTTACTGTTATAATTTTAGAGATTTTTATTACTGGTAGCCAGATTTTGTTCATTTTCATGGTTTTTTCCTTTCTGTTGAAATTGTCCACATGCTTGTGGATTTCAATGGCTTCTCTTTGTAGCCTGACATGGTGGTTGTTAGAGTGGTCCAGCATTTCTGTGTTCTCAAATAATATGCTATGTCCAGGTTGGTTCATCAAGTGCTCTSCTATGGCTGACTTTTCTGGTTGAAGTAATTTGCAGTGCCTTTCATGTTCCTTGATCCATATTTGGGCACTGCTTTTGGTGGTCCCTATGTAGACTTGTTCACAGCTCTGCACGGTATACGGTAGACTCCTGCAGAGGTGAGASGATCCCTCTTGTYCTTTGCTGAACATAGCATTTGTTGGATTTTTTTGTGGGCCTGTTGAGAGTTTRTAGATTGTGTTTCCTCATCAGCTTCCCTATGCGATCAGTGGTTCCCTTGATGTATGGCAAGAGTCCTCTTTCCTACCCTGGACATTCCACAGATATATAAACCCAATTTTCCTAGTTTCCAGCAGACCTCACAACCTCTGAGGATGCCTGCCAT